AGAAAACTAAAATGTTGGACCCCTACAGACCTCTCTGTTCCTGCCACTCTGTACAATGTACCCAGTTTCTCTGTGCTGGAACACTACCTGGCCCCATGTTTGCTGTGTGGTACTTAAATAATTAAACAATTATTATAATTTAGGAGAAGGTGACATAATCATGGAGGTCTTAAAACTAAACTCTGTCTTGAGTGACCTTCAAAATGAAGGAAAACACCATTATATTACAACTTGGCTCTTACTTTTGTGGGTCTGGCCATTGTTTCTATCAGCAAAAACAATTTATTGTTAGAAAGAAGGCAGATGAGACTAAAAACATGAGCAGTCAGATAAGTTGTAGACCAATTCCCAGGTCACCTAAATTTATTTGGAAGAGAAAACGAAAGCCAAACGTAATCAGTTGGGAAATTAACCTAGCCTAACCCAGTCAGTGTGGTCTGTTGGATAACACTGTAACAGCTCACACATCCACTAGTGGAAATAGATTAGCTTGCAAGCAGTAGTATTAGTTCACTCAGTTTGTCATTTGGAACAATGGACATGTGCACCAAATTTCATGACAATCAATCCACTGGTTGTCAAGACATTTCACTAAAAACCTAATTTACTTACTGTAGTTGAGCACAGTTTTCCTTGCAATTAGGGATTATTAAAAACAGTTCATCCTTCATTGTCAGTTTCACTTCCAAATGAAGTGGTTTAGATAATATGGCTAAACTGTTTGCATATCTATCTGATTGTGTGGCAGCCTGTGTGGCTTGCTTCCTTGTTGTGGCGATGATGCCATTTTCCTCTGAGTAATAAAGCAGGACCCACATTAAGTTGATATTGTGCTTTAATGGTGCAAGGTGAGAAGATCTCAAACAAATGGCCCAACAATTGCCCACAATAGCAAAGATTAAATTAGCACCAACCAGTTACAACCCAATAAACCTGGCGCTTCTGGGCTCCTGGAGTTCTGGGGGCTAGGGTTGTCCCGTCCCCTTAGCCCAGTTCAGCCACTTCCATCACAGCTATTCACATCCTCTCAACCCAACTCACTTCATCACGAATCCTTCCCTTGTTATCTTCTCCTCTTTTAAATTTCAGGCAACTAAATCCTCCAACCAAGTCCAACCAAAAAGGTTACCAGGAGTTCAAGGGGTCAGGGCTCACAGATCTGCAACCCGAACCCTTCAGTTTTGTCCCTCACGGTCAATGCTCAGCCGCTCAAAACGGGCTAAAAGTCTGCCTCGGAGGGAACCTTTGTGGACCTGAGCGGGTCTTAGTTACCCACACAGAAATCAATAAAGACATGAAGAATAGAGATGTGAGAAGGCAGAGTAGAAGCAAAGGAGTGTGGGCAATGTTTACTCAGCAGTAAATCTTTCCACCTTACAGAGGTGGAGGCATAGATAGCTTCGATGTACATTCTCTCTTTAAGCCATGTCTCTTTCCTTCACTGCTTGAAATCAAATGCTGTTCACCCCCAATAACAATATTAAAAACAGCAATGATATTGTTAGCAGAATGGTTTTTCCCTTGTTGAATCTTTGGCAAGCAGGAAAAAAAGCTACTTTTAACATCACTAAGGGCCGGGCTGCCAGCAGTTGGTAGATCATCTCATTCCTGTGCCAGTGTGCCGAGACAATCCCTAATTTGTGATATATTTATCTATTCCTTTGCATAAATATCTTTGTTTCACTCCTCTCTCTCTCTGGAGAAGGTGCATTCTTATTCTGCACCATTATCTCCAGTGATGGACTAGCTCTCCCACACACTGCAGCTCATTAAACCAGTACTGCGGCCTTCCTGGTTCTTCTCTCCCTCAGCGTTTTCCCCTCTCTTCCCTTCATCGCGTTTACTTTGAAAAGGTCCTCCAGGACTCCGGTAATAATGCTTCTCCAGGATTACAGAGGACTTGCCAGTATGGACGTGCCTTTAATAGAAGATGACGTTATCTATGGGAGTGCTCTGACTGGCAGGGAAACTTCCCTGCTATGGCATTTGTCTAAGCTTTAGAGGCCAAGGCCTGACATTTGGGGAGGTAAGAAGCTCTGACTTGCATTGTTGTTGAAGACCTTGTGAAATTAAGCATAACATTCATGACATTAGCACTTGCTGACCTGATTATAGTGGACAGGAGACTAATACTAACTTCTTAAATCATTTTACATAATTCACGACAAGGGACATCCCCAACAGATGGAACTTAACACATGATTTCAGGCGACCATACCAAACTCAACATTGCAACTTGGCGATCAGGGAGTCAAATATAAAGAAGAAGCTCAACTTGTGAGTGTATCATCTTATTGAACTTGAATCTTATTTAACATTAAAAAGTGGTCTACAACTGTATTCAACAAATTCCTTCTATAAAAAGATATATTCTTATATATATATTCTATATATTCGTTGACCTATGCTTCAGTTTCTCTATGAAAAGGATAACAATCTGCAACTTGTGGTTTTGGGGAGAGGACCTAATGTGTGTTTAGTCTACTGCTTTCCTGCTATAATCGCACTTTAACAATGTGTGTGAGAATGTGACAGAAGAAATTTCTGTTGCTTGTCATCGTTGCTTTTCTAGACCTACGCTATAACTGAAACCCCTACCTTTGCATCACAGTAAAGGCTGCAGACAAAAAAAGTGACTGTGCCTGGAGGCTTTTGTGTCATTTTCATAAAACTTCCAAGTCATGTACCTCTCTCCAACTCAACGAGCCCCGGTTCTGGATTTAGCGAGTT